GTCTTGTACAGAAGAATGTGGAAGTCTTTTTTTCTATTTTAAAATGCTTCTGAGCTAGTAGAATTAAATATTTTATTGAGCAGATTTGAGTCAAATGTGTTGCTGTTCTGTCCAATCTACATTTTGTTTGGAGTGTATGAAGTGTCATTTTGCCTTGGAGCAGAGTACAAACTGCATTTCTACCTAATTACTAGTATTTGAGGTAGAAACACCAACAGACAATCCTCTAAAACCTCTTTCACCCAATATTTAACACTCATGCCTGGTCCGAGGACTCCAGGACAGAGGCAGAACCAAGTCCCCGGGGTGACTCCCGACATCACAATCACAGCTCTGCACACTGAACAGTAGCTGCCAACTGCCACGCCACAGTACCCGAAGCTTCCACGCAAGGAGCCTACACACAGCAAAACTCTGCGCACACACCACACAGAGTCATAAAATCACAGAACAGTTTGGGTTGGAAAGGACCTTAAAGATCACCTAGTTCCACCCCACCTCCCACTAGACCAGGTTTCTCAAAGCCCCATCCAGCCTGGCCTTCAACATCGGGCAATTTGTTCCAGTGTCTCACCACCCTCACAGTCAAGAATTTCTTCCTAATATCTGAAAGATGGGAGATCGAGATTAGTTTAAATGTTACCCCTCATCCTATCACTACACCACCTGATAAACAGTCCCTCTCCAGCTCTCCTGTAGCCCCTTTAGGTACTGGAAGGGTCCATAAGGTCTTCCTGGAGCCTTCTCTTCTCCAGGCTGAACCACCCCAACTCTCTCAGCCTGTCCTCGCAGCAGAGGTGCTCCAGCCCTCAGAGCGTCTTCATGGGCCTCCTCTGGACCTGCTCCATGTCTTTCCTGTGCTGAGTGCCCCAAAGCTGGAGGCAGCACTCCAGGTGGGGTCTCCCCAGAGCGGAGCAGAGGGGCAGAATCCCCTCCCTCGCCCTGCTGGCCACGCTGCTGTTGATGCAGGCAGCAAGAGGTGGGTGCCTCAGTTTCTTTTCAGAGCTCTTGCCAATTTTTAGCATTAAATGGCTTTCAAGCCCACACAAGCCTTTGTAAAAATATCAAAAAGATGAAGTGGCCATTAAACCAAGCATGCTGAAGCAGGGGTAAATTTTGGCAGCATTACTCATTCTTCCACAGCTGGAGTGGGGGAGAAAAATCAGAGATGCACAATATTCAGTACAGCTGCAAAGCAGGAAAATGAACTCTTTCTTTTGATTTTAGAGACAAAAGTTTAAGACAAAGCTTACTAGAATTATTTTCCCCTCAAGTAATTTTGGAACTTGCTGATAATCAAAAGCTTATTGATTGCCAATGCCCAACATCCATTGCCAAATCTGATCCACGGAAGCATTCCAATCATAATGCAAATTTAAGCCTTCACACCCCCACAAGTTGGGTATTTGCAGCAGTCATGATACAAAATTGGGTATTCAGGCAGATTCTGAAATGGTTAAATTGCAGACAGAATGGAAAGAAGAGTGTAAAAAGAGATAACTGCAAAGAACTCGGACAGCATGGACTGTAACCCAAGGCCGGAGCGGGATGTTAGTACAAGTCGGTCTAGAAGGTTAAGCTCACAATTACGAGACTGATATGAGAGGAATCTGCAGGACAGAGCACAAAGCTCGCCCAAAGAATAACAAGGCGGCCCCTTCAGGAAAAGAAAAGAAACCACCAAGGACTCTCAGGGCCACCACTAAGGAAGAAAATGCGCACACAGCTAGGAAGGGTTAATGAAATAATTTTAATATGTATAAATCACATGAATATATAAAGCCTACAACATAATAAATAGGGTCTGGCTATGGTATGCATGCTGGGCAGAGCGAGCCCCCGTGCATCCAGCACTGCAATAAAGAGAGCGCCTGCTTCTTAACACTTCGGTGGTGTTCAGGAGTTTATTCCCGATTTTGGTGACCGTCACACAGCAGTCAAAGCTACCAGCAAGAACACGGCATTGTGATCACTGTAACAAGAGCAAACAGTTTCATTTAATTTTCAAAGCTGAGCCTTTCTAAACTTCTTGCTGCAGATGGTAATTTCTTACTTTCTTATATGTTCAGAGTAGAAACCTTCAGCGTGAGGAAAGGCACCGAGAAGCCCAATTAATGACAGTGTGACTCATTCACAGAATCCCCAGGGTACCAACTGGAAAAACGTGTGAAGCAGGAGGAATTGCTTTCAGAGCTCGTGCTTAACTTTGGAGAAATACATGGGGAAAGATTGTGCTGCTGCATCAAGTTTCTGTTTTCTAATTTCATGTATTTTTCTAGAACTTGAAGCACTGGCTGTAATTTATAGCATAAGAGTCCAAATGCCTCCTTATTTAAACAGTTAAGACTTTATGATGGCCATATAGATAATAGGAACTTCTGCTTTGAGTTTCATTGGGGGGAAAGACGACCCCAACTCACAGAGAAAAAAGCTAAAAATATAATTAGTGTGATAATTGGAGCTTGATTGTACACACTGAGCTTTTTTGTTTTAAAGTGAAACACTGTTCTGTCCCACTGAAATTTCACAGACCTCACCTCCAAAGAACACAGTGCAGCTGTTTAGAAACACCTGGAAAGCAGGAGATCAAAGCTCACTTTGCCTGAGTTAGATTAGGCACTTCAAGTGTTTAAAGCCACATCTCTGACTGATTACCCACCGAGCTCCTGCTGAGGAAGCCACAAAGCCATCGAACCTGGGCGAGGGGAAAAGATAAAGACAAAGGACGCACCTTGTGTCCCAAGAACACACAAAACCAACTCACACACACACACAAACAGACAACCCACAACAACAACAAAAAACCTTATCAGCTCAGAGCCAGGCAGGCACAGAAGCAAAACGTGAGGAATTTGGAAAAATCAGAGGAAGACTGCTACTAAAAGCAGAGAGAAGCTGAGGCAGAGAGAGGTTCTGCTTTAAGTCCAAGAAAGTATATCCTAATAACAGTTTCAGAGTCTTTCAGTAGGCCACGTCTCAGGTGTGTTAGACACTGAAGTGTGTAGGCTAGAGGCTTGATTTAGCGTGGGCTCATTCTTGCTGAGCGTGCAAGCTTTTCCAAGAGCTGGATGCAGAGCCACGCTCCTCAAGTTAAAGCCCCATCTTGTTTTGGAGATGGCAAACCTTTCTGGGCTGCCCTTGATAGGGTTCCTACGAGGAAAAGAATTTCCTCGTAACTGGGCTATCAGAATCCATAAGTATCACTATATTACTGCCATGACTTTCCTCTTGGCCACCCTAAAAATCCCACAATCGATATTTTAACGTAACGAGGAGTTGAGGCAGGCTCAAGACTAAGCCTCCCCAGACTCGTGGAGACAGCGCTTCGTTTCGCCTCCACTTCTTCAGGCCTCGTTGAGGTGCATAAATCCTGTTGCCAAACCCCTGGCAAACAGTCTACAGCCATTTTGCAGATTGAAGTCCGTCCCCTCCGAGCCCCGCAGCACAAGCCACAGGAGGCAGGGAGAGGGGGGCTGGATTTATCTTGTCGGAAGGCAACAGCATTCGCACTTACTGCTAAAACAAGTGGAGGAAAGGTCTCACGTTAAGGGGCTGACATTCAGCTCAGACTGTACCTGGATTCAGCCATTACCAAGTCACCCCTCAAACAAGAAGAACGTGCAGTTATGCGGTACTTTAAATGCCAGAGATGATTTCCCTATAGCTGGAGTGAAGCATGTTATTTTAAACACTTCTGATCTTCAGGGTTTTGTTTGGGTTTTTTTTCTTTTGGCTATTACTAGCCAATCTCCTTGGGAAAAGGCAGAAGTATCTTCCGTCATACCCATATTGATCTCCGCCAGAAACTTGTTTAAATCAATCCATTTTAGGACCCCATACAGAAAAGAACGGTCTTCAGTTAAACTCACAAGTGTCCAACTTGGCTGATCTCTCACAACAGGCTGAGAGTCTTAAGGAAAGCTTGGAACAAATGAGTTTTGCAAACTCTGTAGAGAAATAGACTAAAAAAATGGATGCTTTAAGTACGGAGGGTATATTGAACTGTTCAGTCCATGTCTGGGGACTGGTGTACAAAGCTGAAAATATCTCATTTCTATACTGTGTTTCAATAGGTTTTGCCGTGAAGAATAGCTTGACACATCAACATCCATGAATAGCCAAACACCTACAGGTTCTCAAAGAAAATGAGCAAATTTAAGAAGGAATGCTCTTGAGAACAGAGCCTTTCAGAGTAATTCACAATTAATATCTCAACTGCTCCCTGTTTCCAATACATCGTTCATTTACCACAATATTAACTCTATAGTACCTTGCCTCAAGATAGGTAGGGCACCTGTCACAGAATCACAAAGTCACAGAATGGTCAGGGTTGGAAGGGACCTCTGGAGATCATCCAGTCCAACCCCCCCGCCAGAGCAGGGTCACCTACAGCAGTTGCACAGGACGGCGTCCAGGCGGGTTTGGAATGGCTCCAGAGTGGGAGACTCCCCCCCCTCTCTGGGCAGCCTCTGCCAGTGCTCTGCCGCCCTCACAGCAAAGAAGTCCCTCCTCACGTTTAGATGGAACTTCCTATGTTCAAGTTTGTGCCCGTTACCTCTTGTCCTATCACTGGGCACCACTGAAGAAAGACTGTTCCCATCCCCCTGGCACCCTCCCTTTAAGTATTTATGTCCTCTCCACAATTCCCATTTCTGTTGGCATTTCATGCATACCCACATGATGTACATCATTTTTCAGCCTCAGCCCTGTCAGCGACTCCTTCACTGCGTAAAACACAGCAGGAGTCTCCAAGAGCAAAAGCAGCTCTTGAACTTGTCCTTTGTGGTACACGGTACCCAATGAGCGACAATACTGTTGAAGACATAGTACTTAACAAAAAAGTTTAATTTTAAAAGTTTTGGCTTGTGATGCTCCTGCAAAGTTTTTACTGCCACGATCAAAACCCATCCAAACACCACAAAAGTGAGCAAGCTTTTTAAAGAGAGCTAAGGGAGGCAGCTAAAAGGCAATTCTTAGCACGGAGCACAGATTGTACAAAGATGTCGTATTGGCAAGCTTGTACCATTTACCCCAACAAGAGCCGAAAAAGGAGCCTGGCGTGGTACAACAGTAGAGCAGGGAAGGCTCTGAACTCCAGGAAGCTGAAGTTGTACAAAAGTGAGGAAAATAAGCAGGAACAAATTCTGGCAAGTACAGCGCAGAGTAAGATTATCCAGTAATGTCTGAGGAACAATTTGCAGACATCAAAAATTAAAGTTCATTTTAAAACACATTAAAGCAGAAAGTTTTGCTGGAGCATCTATAAATATAAAACTACCGGAAGATCAAGGTGTAATGGGAACCTTGGAGAATTGGAGACTAGCAGATGTTTTCCCCTCTTGCATCTACATCCACTGTGGGAAAAGCTGAGATGTTTCCCTGCTTTCCAAGTCTTAATGTGGGGAAAAAAAAAAAAAATAATCACACAATAAAAGGATATTAGTGAATGAGAATAAATGGTGTTGGAGACAACAGGGCACCGACTCAACGCTTCTAAAGCACTTAAGGACCACAGGCCCATGTTATCTGGGGCACAGCCAACTCAAACTGCCTCAGGACCACGAGAATGGCCACTGACAATGGATACAGGGCAAGATGAACCAAGGACCAGCTTCCCATGGATGCAGCATTTATGAAAGAATGCAGACAGTACTAGCAGAAGCAGCAGCAAACAGGTAAATTGAGATTGTCAAACCAGACAACCTGGTCCGCTGCTTGTAAAGCGAGAACTGAATCAAATCACACAGCGCCAGTCCGGGCGTTTGAGGATTCTCGCTCTCCAATCCTTTCATGTTTTCTTTGTTTCTAAACATAAGAGACAAAAGAGCACCTGCCAACATTACCGTTATCAAAAATGTTCATCCAAACAGCTCAGTCTTATCAAATGGAAAAGCAGATCTCGCACGGGCACTGTGACGTTAGGAGTGTGGTCAGCACCAGGGGACAAAAGCTGCATGTTTCTGCTTTCGTTCAGATAGTTATGGAACAGAGACAGAAATTCAGGTTCAGGTTAAAAATATTAGGTTAGAACCCCTACCCAAAGATAAGCAGATGAGTATGTCCTGAAAGACAGATTTACACAGCAGCCAGCTCTGGCTTTGAAAGTGAAAAATGGAAAAAAAAAACCAACCAACCACCAAACCCAGAGTCCTTTATGGAAAGCAGAGTTTTAACCAAGGGTTTCCCACAGAAAGGACAACGGTTTTAACAGTTTGGAGCACTGAATAAAGGTGTAGAGGAGTTGTGAATTATCATAAATTATTTCAGTGTTCTGTTCCTCCACTTTTTTTTTTTTTAAATAAAAACAAACCAAGATGTTTTTCCTTTCAAGATGAACTAAAGGTTCACTCGACCCAAGGGCGTTTCGGGGTTGCTTTTCTGGGTGTTTAGTTCAGGAAGAGCCAGGAGCTTTCACGCAGCTGTATGAATAAAGTTTCCAGTTTGGCGTCTGAACCAGGGGCAAATTATTTTTACCACCCTGTTTCTGAAATTGCTTTACATCTCTGTTACTATACAGCAATACTGGCAGCTATGTCCTACAATGAAGTTCCTTCCACACTTTTCTAAAGCAACATAACACTGAAGAAATATTTGCTCCGCTAGAAACAAAGTTTCACAGAGATCACTCCTACAAGAACACTCTTGCACAGTTTTCTCAATATGTTAATTTACAGTTTCAAATCTTAAAAGCTAAAGTCACGGGAAGCAAAGCATTAGTTGTAATTTAAAACCTCTGTTACTACTTCAGGTATTATTAGCTCTAATCATCCCTTCTTCTACCCCTCTTTCAACTAACTTTAAATACAAATCATTACAAAGACCAATGAAACAGGTGAAGATGATATCAAACTCTACAGCCTGAAGTTAGTAATGCAGCAACTTAAAGCTTACAGACTATAAGAACACATAAAATAAAACTGAATTATGGTTGCTTTCCCTTTCAGGGAACATCAGAGGTTAAAGGAACAGTTTTCTTCCTCCCAGTGTTCCTTCTAAGCATTTTGACTACTACACAGTAGAAACAAATCCAAACTCAGTGAAGTGTCTGCTCATTAGGTTTTAAACAGCCAAGCATACGTTCTATTCAACTAATAATAAATAGCTATTATGTTAGATACACTTATGACTTGACAAGATTTTATCCATCAATATTTTTATATTTCAGCTCCACATTCAAAGGAAAGACGCGACAAATCCAGAGGAGCACACAACAGCAACACAGGGCAACGCAACACCACTGGTTTGGAAAATACTGGCAACCATAACACGGGGACTCAAGCCCAGAGACCTTCCTGCCTTTTCAAATTCCAGTTCTTTCGTGATCTATTGCTGGTGCTCCCTCCTGAGGATTTCAGAAGCACCTCATACAGCTCAAAACGTGTAGGTACATTCATGATGTGTGGAGAAGTATTAATTACACTTGGCGAGATGGAACATTTCTCCAACATCATCTTCCTTTGACCTCACCAGTACAAAGTGCCCCTCCTTCAAAGTACACTACCGGACCAGTAAAACCAAAAAACAACAAACCTGGCAGGAATCTTGGAGATTTTTCACAGGTTCAACTCTAGTTGTGACAGCTACTGTGCACAGTCCCAGAGGGGGCAGTGCCCCAAAGCAGCCACTCACTGCTGGCCAGTCACTTCCTTCCCCACCATTTCTCTTTGACACTGGATAATACTTTTGCACACATTTCTCCTCTCTAAAAGTCCTGTTCTGTCCCTCATTTAGGTGCTTCACTTCCCTAACTCTCCCTGCAGGCTCTTTTCCGGAGCACATCCCAGCAGGAGCTCAGCATGCGGGGGAGAAGCCGGTGGTGTGGCATCACAGCCGGACAGATGTCTGAGATTTCCTCTATCATTATTTCTTTCTTTCTTTCCTTCTGCTGCCCCTAAGGCTGCTGCAGACCTTGCAGGTAGCAAACAGAGCCATCTCTAGAGCTTATACCTCCTGCCATTCAGCAGCAGCTCAGAAGCTTAATTAACCCGAGCTGCTTGTATGGAAACCCTGAACGCCAAAAGCTCTTCTTGCCATCACAAGGGGCCGCTGTTAACTGTCCTAAGCGAGACAAGAGGGTTCGAAAAGCACCGCATGCATCAACATCAAGCAAAATTCATGACATCAGAGCAACGAAGCCGAGTGTTTAGAAATGCAGTAGCGGCTCCTGAGCTATCAGACACACAGGTTTCATCCAGGCGAGAGATATTTTTTATTTTTGGTACAGGACTTGGATCACTGCTACTGTTATCAGGGAACAAGAATCAGCGTACCACTAAAGCGCTTCTTATTAAGAAGCCACAGAATTACAAGTAACACTTGAACTGACCTTTAGATAGTGCAGATGGCATGCCAGCCTGAATTAGTGACACTGGGTATTATACTGCAAGATTGTCACGGTTGCCTGGTATACAAATCAGCAAGGAAAACTCTTCCCTGGGGAAGACAAACACATAAAGACTTAAACCAAAAGTCATGTGCGTGGGAGCTGCAGCCATAGCCAAAACGCAGGGTCTGACACGGAATGACAGCAGGCAGATGAAAGACACCCAAGGGACACTGTGTTGCAGATCTTGGGATGACATCAGACTGCACAGCTGAGAGTCATCACCCGGCACTGCATATATCTGGTCTGACACACCTGGAGCAATACTACCTTTACAACTATTTATATTACCAAAGCAGCAGGTCAGCGAGGGAACTGCAGTCTGAAGCCGATTCGTAAATATGCTCTGAAGCATCTAAAAAGTATTTATTCCTACCTAGAATTAAAATAGGGGTTTCAGAATGACTGCAATTCCCTCCTTCAACTTGTGATCACACCACCAGATTGGTTCCTTGTGCTTAAAGTATCAGTTCCAAGATGTCTCTACTATTCTGTTTTTACTATTGACTTCAGAACTGGCCCAGCCGAGTTGTCAGCCTCTCAGGCTGAGGGAGCTGCACACAGCCTTTTGGTCTACGTGTCCACTTGCGCCCAGCGTTGCTTGGGTAGGAGAAATACCCAACACGCTACTTGCGAGAGACAGAATTACAGAACATTGCTCTGTTTGAACTTCCCTGCACATTGCTGTTCACCTACCGATGAAACGCTGGTGCAGCTGCGGAGAGGGGACCTCCTCCTGATCAAACACCAGTAAGGATGAAACAGTGACCACCCTATTCCTCTCTGCATACCGTCCTTGGCATCAACTGGAAACACAGGGCTTATCACTCTGAGAGCAAACAGTTTCTGTTTGTTTTAGTAGTCAGAATAGGATTAGCTGCAAAGTAAAATTACTGAATGGAAAATGGGCTCTGTTTTACCTCACACCAGGACATTCGGTAACAAGGATTTAAACAGCAAAGCAAATGAATAAAAGCTTGTCATAAAATTGCCACACACAGTCCTGACTGTTGCACAGACCGATTGGAGGTGGGCATTAGAAGGAACAGCCACCAGTCCCGATTCTGCTTCATTAAACAATATCAAAAACCATTATGACGTATCTAATAGGACCGACAGAAGCAATCACAGTGAAACCTGGACTCATATCTATTCCTTCATCCTGCTTACACACATCTCCTTCTCCACCTCCTTTTCGGGAAAATTAATTAGAAAATACAGAGATTTTTACCCCTTGGTCAGCCCGGCCTCTCCTGCTGCCACGCAGCTGCTGGCTCACCTCCCATCTTCAAGCCAGCGCCCAGAGCAGCTCAGCTCCTTCAGCGAGACAAGTGAACCTTTTGCAGCTCGCCTCTGCTGGAGGAGTTACACCCAGCAAGGCTTCTCCCCTCTCCCTGTTTCCAAAGGAAGGCTCCAGCCTTCCCCACAGCTGCATCTGATGCCTTTAACCCTATCCAATCCTCAGGTGCAGCCCAGGGCACCGAGGACATCCCCTCCCCCCCCATTAACCCCTTTATACCAATGTGCAGTGTTTAATGCAAAGCTTCATAGAAGTTTTCAGGAAGGATCTGAACAAAAGTCCAGATGATAATGTGGATAGGGGGTGGCAGGGAGAAGGCAAACGGGATTTCAGGGTTTCATCACTTCAATTACAAAGGTTTAAAGGGGAAGAAGTAACAGGTCTTTTACCATTAGGACTGTGCACAAGCAGCTCAGAAGCAACTGCAAGCTGAAAGCGTAGTCCTCTGTTTTATTAGTCATTTAAACAGATAGAAGTTGA